AGAGAGTGGAAAAGTGTAAAGAAAAACATAAAACTTACCTGTACTTTAAAAAGCAGGTAGCAATAATAGCATGTCTAACATGCTCTCATTCCAGACTTGATAATGTACATATAGTAGTTTTTATTTCTTTATGCTTCTGTCTTTCAGATATTCTGCATTCAGTATGTGCTGTTTTTGCAGTTAAAAAGTGTGAAGATTTATAATCCCACTGATCAGAAACCATCATTAATTCTACCATTTTGATGTATTTCCAGGGGTTCTCCCCCACCCCTTTATTTTTGGAAACACAGTCTTGCTCTGTTGCCCAGACTGGGGTGCAGTGGTACAATATGGGCTCACTGCAACCTGCACCTCCTGGGCTCAAGAGATCATCCCACCTCAGCCTTCCAAAGTGTTAGGATTACAGGCATGAACCACCATGCCCAGCCATATATATATATATATATTTTTTTTTTCACCTTAGGATCGTTCTGCTTTGTCTCTCTACTTTCTTTACTTAAATATAAGAACATGCTTATATCATATTATTAAAATATAACTTTCAGTAATGCATTTTTAAAAGTAAATAATTACAGTATTCATTTTCAGTTTTTCACTATTATAAATTGATGATCTGGTATAAGATTACTAATGATTAGTTTTGTTCTTCTAACACAGAACATTAGCCAGATATCAATAATGTAAAGAATTTGGCTATAATAGAGTTACTCTTAGATCTTGATGTTAAACTGCTCTGAACTAATGACAGGCTATTCATCTGGTGAGCATTTACATGTAGTGATTTACTTACTGTAATAGGAGATGACAAATTTAGTGCCAAAGCTTTTTTTTTTTTTTTTTTTTTGGAGACAGAGTCTTGCTTTCTTGCCCAGGCTGCAGGGCAATGGCACTATCTTGGCTCACTGCAGTTTCTGCCTCCCAGGTTCAAATGATTTTCCCACCTCAGCCTCCCGAGTAGGTGGAATTACAGGTACATGCCACCATGCCCAGCTAATTTTTTTTTTAGTAGTAACCGGGTTTCACTGTGTTGGCCAGGCTGATCTTGAACTCCTGACCTCAGGTTATCTGCCCTCCTCAGCCTCTCGAAGTGCTGGGATTACAGATGTGAGCCACCACGCCCAGCACAAAGCATCTTGAAAAGTATTCTCTTTTGTTAATGTAATACCTTGCCATTCTTACCTAGTGAGAATATAGAACCTAAGTTTTACCTTATTGGGGAAGAAGCTCATGTTAATCATATGCAGAACATTCAGGGGAGAGTTAACTATTCCTATCTTTATCTTTTTTCCTGTAGCTTCATAAACAAGCAGATATGCAAGAAGAGAAAAACCGAATTGAAAGAGTCCTTGGGGCTACTCCTTTGCCTGACCTGATTCAAAAAGTCCTCACGTTTGCACTTTCAGTAAGTTACAGTGAAAACGGCGTTTAGATGTGAATCGTTACCCATCTGACAAGTGTCTCTGATTCAGCTCTGATCCTCTTGAGCTGCCTTAACCCTAGACTAAAGCTTTCTTTTCCAGAGAAACTGGCTTGAGCTTTTGTTACTGACTTTTCTCCCACTAGTGGTGAGAATCAGAATAGTTGGGAGAGTAAACAAATTCTCTCTCCAGAATGGGACCTATGAGGACATGGGCTCTTGAAAACTGGGAAATTGGCTTATGCCTTTGCCTACTTTGTTTCTCTTCCTTTCTTAAACCTATAGGCTCTTAAACACATATCTGTTGAGCTTTCTGTCTGTCTGAACCTGTCTCAGGGCCTCATTCTTGGTTTGGTTGATCTTTAAGTTAAACATCCTCATTGAGAACTTTTAGTGCCAGTTATTCCTAAAACAAGGAATAAGTGTCTTCAGTGTGATTACTTGGATATCTCAACAGTATGTTGCACTCTCTGGTACCAGAATATGTTTTGCATACACTAGACTTTTAGTTTTCTTTCTTTTTTTAGGAAGAGGTACGTCCACAGGACACTGTATCAGTAATTGGTGGAGTAGCTGGAGGCAGCAAGCATGGAAGGAAAGCTGCTTGGAAATTCATAAAGGACAACTGGGAAGAACTTTATAACCGGTACCAGGGAGGATTCTTAATATCCAGACTAATAAAGGTATGTGAAAAATTTTGAGTAGCTTGCTAATCATGGATATTATTCAGTGATATCCATGATTTACTACACCCACACATTGTGGTCTTTGCTCTTTAAGTTTCCTTAAATAGTTACTGGCTTTATTAAACAACTTTTCCATCTCCCATCACACATCCTTTGCCACAAACTGAAGTTGGGAGAGAACAGAATGATTTGTTTTTAGGGTAAATGGAAGTTTGTTCCCAGCGTCTTTTTAGTTTCACTTACTATTTAAAACCATTGTTTTGCAGCTATCAGTTGAGGGATTTGCAGTTGATAAAATGGCTGGAGAGGTTAAGGTAAGGAAAATACTGTTTACTCTTCACTTTTCAATCTAGTAAGTAAAAACAATAACATAATCATAGTGTTGGGATAATGTACTGTAGCATCTCCATGTTTCTGCTTAGAGAAAGACATCATGCAGGGCTGTATAGGCCTTATTAAGAATTTCCTAAAAATGGCTGGGTGCAGTGGCTCACACCTGTAATCCCAGCACTTTGGGAGGCTGAGGCAGGTGGATCACCTGAAGTTAGGAATTCAAGACCAGCCTGGGCAACATGGTGAAACCCCATCTCTACTAAAAATACAAAAATTAGCCGGTATGGTGGTGGGTGCCTGTAACCCCAGCTACTCAGGAGGCTGAGGCAGGAGAATTGCTTAAACCCAGGAGGTGGAGGTTGCAGTGAGCCGAGATGGCACCACTGCACACCAGACTGTGTGACAGAGCAAGACTCCGTCTCAGAGGGAAAAAAAAAAAAAAAAAAAGAATTTTCTGAAAATGGAAAGGCATCTAATGGTTTATAAACAAGGCAGTGACTTGAACTGATTTGTGTTATTAAAATTGCATTCTGGCTGCAATGTGGAGTATAGTTTGGCATGGGGAAGAGAAGATGTTGGGAAGCTAACTCTCCCAGCAAGAAGGATAGAACAGCTTACAGTAGGGTAGTGGCGGTAGTGGGGGAGATGGAGTAATGAAGGAAACTCAAGGGGCTTGAATTTGTTAACCACTAATTCAGTAATATTTATTGATTGGCTTCTCTGTTGTGAGCTTATCTGGGAGAGGAAGAAAAAAGGAGGATAATCCCCAGTTTCTGGTGTGTAAATGTTGGTACTACTTACTGAGATTGAATGGCATGAGACTTGAGGCCCTAAGAACTGAACCATGATTAGGAACCTTGGAATGGTAGCAATTGTCATCTGTGTAAATAAGGTTATTGATTTCTAAAAGGTCTATGGTTAAGCAGATGGATTAGTCATTGTCTTTCACATCTGTGATGACTAATTCAAAGGAAAAGCCCCATCATTTTGCCAGTTGGTGTTTAAGAGTTGCTTTGTTTTCTGTGAAACCAGGTATACTCCATTAGAAAAGCTTATTCAACTTTTAATCATTAAGCATTTTGATAAATTATAAACTTAGAAATTGTTTTGTGGTTTTTTTTTTTTTGAGACGGAGTTTCGCTCTTGTTACCCAGGCTGGAGTGCAATGGCACGATCTCGGCTCACCGCAGCCTCCGCCTCCCGGGTTCAGGCAATTCTCCTGCCTCAGCCTCCTGAGTAGCTGGGATTACAGGCATGTGCCACCATGCCCACCTAATTTTTTGTATTTTTAGTAGAGACGGGGTTTCACCATGTTGACCAGGATGGTCTCGATCTCTTGACCTCGTGATCCACCCGCCTGGGCCTCCCAAAGTGCTGGGATTACAGGCTTGAGCCACCGCGCCCGGCCTGTTTTGTGGTATTAAAAATGTTGGAGTCCTGTAATTCCAGCATTTTGGGAGGCCAAGCCTCCGGGAGCATTTCTTGAGCTCAGGAGTTCAAGACCATTTTGAGCAACATGGTACGACCCCATCTCTACAAAAAAGAAAAAATATTAGACAGGCATGCACTCCCAGGCTGCGATGAGCCATGATCACATCATTGCACTCTAACCGGGGTGGGCAATAAAGAGAGACCCTGTCTCAAGAAAAAAATGACTATGGGGTGTTAAATTAGGGCACAGCAGCAATTTGAACTTCCTCATATTATTCCCTTACAAAATTAATCTTTATTTGAAGCAGCCAAAATGTGTTGAGTCTTTCAGTACTTGGTGCCAGGTATTTTGTCAAATGGTTTATGGATTGTCTCTTTAATCTTTTGGAGTAAATATTTTCTAATAGATGAGAAAACTGAGACTTAGAGCAGTTAATTTTCTCACAGTTACAAGCTAGTACATGACCAAGCCTCTATTCAAGTTCCAAGTCTTCAGTTCAAAGACTGTATTTACCACTACACAGTTAGCCTAAAAGAAAAGCAGTAGATTCTGTCTCTTTACTATTGACTTTTGATGAGGTTGTTAAGCATATAATATTTAAGGGGAGAATTCCTATATGCAGGTCCAAGGAGTTGCTTGTTTTCTTTTAGCCTGAGGGTGGCAGTGATAAATTCTCATGACTGAAGCTTATGCATCCTGCATATAGACCAGTAGGTATTTTTTCATAACCTGTAATACAAACTTCTTATTATTGCTAGTAATGATCCTGCATTCTGGGTTGTTTTCTACCAGGCTTTCTTCGAGAGTCACCCAGCTCCTTCAGCTGAGCGTACTATCCAGCAGTGTTGTGAAAATATCCTGCTGAATGCTGCTTGGCTAAAGCGAGATGCTGAGAGCATCCACCAGTACCTCCTTCAGCGGAAGGCTTCACCACCCACAGTGTGAATCCTGAGGTGCCGCTGCTGCGGTTCTGCTGCTTCGCTGCAGGGATAAGGTGGAGCTACCAAACAGCTGATTTGTATGCCACGAATTTGGAGTCTTCTTTCAAACCAGTGGGGGTTGGACAATGAATGTAGTTAACTGGTTCCTGCTCACACTCCAGAATTAAATTCTACTAAAAAAAGGAAAATCAGCAATTCAGCAAAAAATAAATAAAAAATAAAAATGTAAATATGATAGTAATAAAATAGAGCATAATGAAACTGTGAAACTTTCTGAAGCCTTGTCAGTGGTTAAAAGTATTTAACACTCTCCTGTTAATGACAGATGTTCTGTTTTTATAACTTACCAAAAGGAAACTAGAGGCTTCTTGGTGAAGAGAATTTTTGTGAAGTGGGTTCTGCAAACAGCTTACAAGCCAAGGGTGGTGTCCACTTCTGGGAATGGTTAAACTCAAAAGGCCAATAGCTGGTATAACATAGTTGGAGTCAGTGCATAATTCCAAGTGTTTTTTTTTTTTTGGCATGGGGACTAATCAGGAAGATATATTTTCCTGCATAACTCAATCTGAACCAAGGATTGTAGTTTTCCTCCTTGCCTTCCCTTCTGTGTGACCCCTTGGCAAAAAAAAAAAAAAAAAGATAAGGGCTAGTATTGTATTTTTAGTTTGTAGCTCCACTCTTTTCTATAAAAAAAAAAAAAAAAAAAAAGTTAAAAAAACCCTACCCTGTTCTGGTTTTTTTCCTCCCTTCAGTTCCATCCCCAGCCTCCATCCCCCAACCCCCGGTGTCCTTCTTAGAGATAAATAATAAGGAAACATCTTTCATAGCCACATTAAATAAGAGAAACTGATACATTATTTTTTTCTTTCTTTTTAAAGATGACTTATAAGAACCCTGAAATGCATATAGGTGAGACAATAGAAATAAAAAGATCTTCAGCCAGGCCTTTCTGAAGGAGTTATTCTGCTAAAAATGGTCTTAGTTGTCTGACAAGCCAATTATTGAACCTCTTCATAACAGTATCAACACTGGCTTCTCCTGGTTCATTTTCTGCATGTGAGAAGTCAGTGGTAACTGCTGCAGGGCTTATGCATTAGTGGTAACTGGTTTAAAAACAAAGACTGTAAGCCTGTGTGTGCGCCACTGTTTGCTTCAACAGTATATCCTCCTAACAAGCCTCACCTATTCAGTCCAGTGAATTTTAAATCTAAATCTCATTCCCTTCCTTTTTCCCTATATATTTTTTTTCTTAAAAAAATTTTTTTGTGTTATTAACAGAAATTCATATTTGGTGTGGCTTAACTGTATTTCAGAAGGTCATCAGATTGTGAGACTGCTTCCCTGAAACATTTTTGTGCTATTGTTTTAAAAAAATAATAATTAAAAAACAGTTGGCGTTAATAAAAATGTCAATGTGAAATTGATGTCCTGATTCATTTTATTCTCTAAGAAACTTAAAACTTTCCTATCGTTCAGTAGGCTTATGCAAAGTTATACTATAATAGGATTTTTCAAATTCAAGAAAATTGGCGGTGGGGGGAGAAAAATAAATAAATGAAAATCCAGTTCCTGTCCTAATTTATAGATACTGACAGAAAAATCCTGAGATTCATTCTAAATTAGTTCTAGATTCTCAGAACTCTCAGAGACTCTTACAGTCAGCATTCAGCAGTGAACTTGAGACTTCCTCAGTCTTGTGTTTTGAGGCCCCGTCGTCCACGCACCATGCTCAGGGCTGCCCTTAGGCTCTCCAAACATGTGCTTAAGGCACCAGTGAAGAAGGGGCACCGAAAAGGCTGAGGAAAATGCAGTTTCAATTGAAGAACTCAGAATTTTGCAATCAAATTCTGGAAACAGGTTATTTTAGTTTCAGCATACATGTGATTTTTATGTGTAATAAGTAGTTTGAATTACGTTCGGGGAGAGGTTATACTGCGTGTCTTCCATTTCCCTTTCAGAACCCCTCTTCATTCCACTCTGGACTCCAGCAGGTGCTTACCCACATGCTGCATGGATGGCTCCTTTGCCCTCTAACTTCAGCTTGTGTTTATCCAATTAGTCATATCCAAAGATGAGAAGATACAAGGAAAAGATAGTCGAAGTATTCTGGCTTTCTCATTGCCAGGTCACATGGGTTGTCTATGTCCCTTTACCAAAGACCACAGCTCCCATTCAAGTAGCCCCCTCGAGCTTCTGGCTCCTCTTTGCTCCTTCACATCTAGGACAGAAAGGAGGACTTGGGGCCGAGGCGCAGTGGCCATGCTTGTAATCCCAACACTTTGTGAAGCCAAGACGGTGGATCACCTGAGGTCAGGAGTTCAAGACCAGCCTGACCAACATGGTGAAACCCCCGTCTCTACTCAAAATACAAAAATTAGCCAGTCATGGTGTAATCCCTGCTACTCGGGAGGCTGAGACAGGAGAAGCGCATGAACCTGGTAGGCAGAGGTTGCAGTGAGCTGAGACATGCTATTGCACTCCAGCCTAGGCAACAAGAGCGAAACTCTGTCTCCAAAAAAGAAAGGAAGACTCAGGCTGGGCAGGGTCACTCACATCTATAATCCCAGCACTTCAGGAGGCTGAGGTGGACATACTACCTGAGGTCAGGAGTTTGAGATAAACCTAGTCAACATGACAAAAACACCATCTCTACTAAAAATACAATTGGCTGGGCATAGTGGTGCATGTCTGTAATCCCATCTACTTGGGAAGCTGAAGCAAGATTATTGCTTGAACCCAGGAGGTGGAGGCTGCAGTGAGCTGAGATTGTGGCACAGCAACAGAGCAGGACTCGTTTCAATAAAAAAAAGAAAAGGGGCGGGGGACTCAATTACCATCCCTGGAGTACTCCGTTATTCTTTGCTGGCTTCCCTGAACTCTGTCCATGTCTTTATAAATAGTCCCTAAACATTACTCAGTTTGAGTGTGTTCTCTTTCCTAACATCTTGAGTGATCTGGGCACAACAGCCCTGCTGCTTTGGGTCTCTAAAGGTTTTAATCCAGCCTTTTCTGTGTCAGATGTTTTCTTTCAAATAGCTCCCTATCAGCTGGGCATGGTGGTTTATGTCTGTAATCCTAGCCTAGGCGGATTGCCTGAGCTCAGGAGTTTGAGACCAGCCTGGGCAACACGGTGCAACCCTGTCTCTACTAAAATACAAAAGAAATTAGTTGGGCATGGTGGTGTGCGCCTGTGGTCCCAGGTACTCGGGAGGCTGAGGCAGGAGAATTGCTTGAACCCGGAAGGCAGAGGTTGCAGTGAGCTGAGATCGTGCCACTGCACGCCAGCCTGGGCAACAGAGCAAGACTCTATCTCTACCAAAAGAAAGGAAAAAAAAAAACCCTATCATAAGTCATACATACATTTTACAGATGAGAAAGCACAGTCAGAAAAGTTAGGTAAATTAATACAGCAAAATAACTATCAGAACTAGCTGATCAAGCCAGGCTTGCTAGTCTCCAAAGGCTGTGGTCTTCCAGGGAACTGCCATGTTTCCACAATTAAAAGATCATACAGTTAGAGTGAGCCAGATAATAACGTTAAAGCTTAATGATTTTTTTCCTAATACATTTTGGTTACAAATTTTAGTGGAAATCAGAAGGTTTGGAAGAAACACAAATATGTAAATGCCTCCTACAGCGAGTTTTACATTAATTTTCATTAGAATCAGTAAAGCCTTTTGGAACAGTGGGCAGTGGTGGGTGAATTCTCAACTTGGAATTTCTAAGGATAGGCTTTAGGGAGCAAGGAATAAATGTGTTGTGTACAATTTGGGGAGGATTAAGAGGAGTTCTATAGCTCTAAATAGATTCTCCAAAGTCTATTTTGGAGAAATAGGTACCCAAAAGATACCAGAATTACCAGAAAGACGTCATGAAGCCCCATGTAAGTCCTAACATTTTTTGTTTTTGTTTTTCAGCAAGTCATTAAAATAAAAGCAAGTGGGCTGGGCGAGATGGCTCATGCCTGTAATCCCAGCACTTGCCAAGGCAGGTGGATCACCTGAGGTCAGGAGTTTAAGACCAGCCTAGCCAACATGGCGAAACCCCATCTCTACTAAAAACACAAAAATTAGCCAGTGTGGTGGTGTGTGCCTGTAACCCCAGCTACTCAGGAGGCTACGGCGAGAGAATCACTTGAACCCAGGAGGCAGAGGCTGCAGTGAACTGAGATCATACCACTGCACTCCAGCCTGGACAAAAGAGCAAGACTCCCTCTCAAAAAAAAAAAAAAAAAAAAAAAATATTGCCGGGAGCAGTGGCTCACACCTGTAATCCCAGCACTTTGGAAGGCAGAGGTGGGCGGATCACGAGGTTAGGAGTTCAAGACCAGCCTGGCCAACATGGTAAAACCCCATCTCTACTAAAAAAAAAATACAACAATTAGCTGGGCATGGTTCTTGAGCAATCTCCACTACTCGGGAGGCTGAGGCAGGAGAATTGCTTAATCGACCCAGGAGGTGGAGGTTGCAGTGAGCTGAGATCACGCCACTGCACTCCAGCCTGGGTACAGAGCAAGACTCTGTCTCAAAAAAAAAAATAATAATAAATTTAAAAATGAATAAAAGCAAGCTTTTGGTAATATGTTTATACTGCTGAATCTATACTTACAGCATCATTATTGACTGAGTAATAAATTGCCTGATAGAATTGAATCTCTTCCTTTTGTTAGATACTAGTTTTAGGATTTCAGAGTTTGTTTTTTATAAATAAGACTATTTGCGACAATGCAAAATACCCACCCAAGAAGGATCATACCTTCTTGTGCCAACCCTGATGCAAGCAAAGTGACTAAGGTGTTTGGTTTCAAATGCAAGAATAAGAGCCTTGATGTTAACAAAACATTGGGCCAAACAACTGCCTTCCCTAGGAAACAAATCAGAGGACTGGTCGTTCTACCAGCTTGATAGCCAACGTTATGATACGATGAAGGAAAGTCAAGTGAGTTGTTACGGCCATTTATTACTTTTTTGTTTTGTTTTGTTTTTGAGACACAGTCTCACTCTCACCAGGCTGGAGTGCAGTGGTGCAACCTTGGCTCACCGCAACCTCTGCTTCCCAGGTTCAAGTGATTCTCCCGCCTCTGCCTCCCAAGCAGTAGGGCCTACAGGCACGCGCCACCACGCCCAGCTAATTTTATTTCAGGGGCGGGGTTTCAATGCATTAGCTAGGATGGTCTTGATCTTCTGACCTCATGATCCGCCCACCTCGGCCTTCCAAAGTGCTGGGATTACAGGCGTTAAGCCACCACGCCTGGCCTGTTACTGTCATTTATAAAGAACTCTGATTGCTCCTGTGACTCCACTGCAAGTCTCTGGCAGCTGTAGCTTTCACTACTGAGCTCTGCTTAACATAGTTTACTATCATGATCTGTGCTTTCTCAGGGAGGTTGCAGCAGCTAACAGCAGATATACTATACATCAATTAAGATAACTACCAGAAGAAAAAAATAATCCTTGCCATGGTTTGGTTGGTGGTACCAGTATGGTCCTCTGAGACGTCTCCTTACCCCTACTCTAACCAACTTTAACCTTCATCATCAATTTGACAAATTTTACAGGTATATTACATTATACTGCAATTTTGGGCAACTCTTAATATGGCACTGATTACCTTGCATTATTTGTGCTAATCTGGACAT